CTTGTCTCTTTATTGTCAGAATCGGTTTCGGGAATATCGTCAATAGTTAAATCTATATCGATTGATGATGTCTCATTATCATTTAATATGTGCTCTACTTGAAACTGATCGATATCTTCTTTGGGAATATGAAGTTTTTGAAACATTTCCTCGACAAGATCTTTCAATGTTGTTGTTTTTGAACACGGCAATTTAAAGATTTCGCTTTTGTATCGTATAGAGCATGCCATATCAAGTTTCGAGGCTAATTTGAAGTGGAAGTTATCTGAAGACGATTCGAGATCTTCCAGAGTTAGCTCATAGTCTACTTCACCTGCTTCATACTCGAGGTAATAGTAACTTGCAGTAGTCTTTAGTAGTTGACATGAAATATCAAACACCCTTTTCACAGTAATTGATTTTAAGCATTTGAATTGAATCGAACAATTTTCTTGCTCGAAGTTGGTAACAGTAACGAGTGCTGGCAAGTTGTCTGTGATAATATGAAACTCAATTGGTGATGGAAACAATCCCAGTTTAGTTTCTTCTGAAGGAACAATATCGTCGCCGAAACAGAGAAAACAATCAGCATCAATGTCACTATTTTTCAAGACATCGGCAACAGTTGCAAACTTTGAGTATCGTTTAGAATAATCATCTTCTTGCTCCTTCGTCTGTTTACGAATTGAAACACAACATGTTTCACTTTCTTTGAGAAGAATGAATTTTGTTTCTTTCAAATCAATAATTTTTTGGTCATAAGCAATAACTGCATTTCTATCACAAGAGGCTAAATATTTGCAAGCTTCATTGGGTATTTCTTGCATGTGCAATATTTGATCCACGGTAACGGTATCGTCTTTAACTTTTATGACAATATCTCGTTGAATATCATTCTGATGAATGTAAGCTTTTAACCATATTCGACATTGTACCGGTTGAGAAAATTCTTCGACTACTTTGTTCGAATCTTCTTCAGATAATTCTTGTTCATCAATATCACCAAGCGTGAAAACACAATCTTTCGGCGAAACAGTTAAATTGAATTGTCGAAGGATATCGATACTCAATAGGTCACGCATTCGAAGCGAACTAAGTATTTGAATAACTTTCGTATTCGATCCAAAACATAAAGTGACAGTTCGTGTTTGATCTTCACTAATTGCATCCAAAGTTACTGCGTTTTTCTCTAATATGGATATCGATTCATTTTTATCATATATAACTTTGCTTTCTCTGTTTATATAAGCACAAGATGAATCAGTTTGTTGCAAATGAGTTTTACGCCAAATATCGACCTGGTACCATTTCGCTGTTGGATGAAATAGACATTTTTGTTCCTCTTGATCTAAATTCAAATAATCACATACTTTTTCAAAATACTGATCTGTTGAGCAACTTCTACCTTTTGTTTGTAGCTTGACCATATATAATAAAGTGTTTTCGATATTTTCTTCTCTGACAAAAATAAAGAATGGCAAATCATGATTAACGTCGTGTGGCAGTTCTGAAACCATCCCATTTTCGATGCATTTCCCGAGTTCATCATAAAATACCAAACGAACTTCAGGTGATAATTGTTTTAACTCATTTTCATCTATAAAACGATCGATAATACTGAGAACAGTACAGTCTGGTAATGAAAAATATTTGTATTGTTGACTTCCATATTGGAATACAGTAGGAATTAATAATCTCTTTTCGACTATTTCATATGCTACAGGGAATGGATTGGGTCGACGAACATTCATTTGTGTTAAGTCGACCAATATTTTCTTGTCATCAACAACAGCGTACGTTTGCAGATCATACTTCTTCTTTGTAATATACTCATTCAGTTTGGTATAGAATCCTTCGATTTTACATGTAATATTATATTTTGAAGCAGCCATTGGATCTGTAACTTCAAACTTTTTAGCTTTGTCTGAAGAGGCTGTTGTATTTTTTGATTGATCCTCGTATAGAGATACAAACGTCAATGATGTTATTGAAGTGGGTTCGATATTTAATTTAAAAAGCGACAAGAGTGGTGCCGGCTCAGGAGGCGGACCTGGCTCAGGAGGCGGACCTGGCTCAGGAGGCGGACCTGGTTCAGGAGGCGGACCTGACTCAGGAGGCGGATCTGGCTCAGGAGGCGGACCTGGCTCAGGATTCGAAGGACGACGTCTACCATGGTTATCGTTTTCCTCGTTATCTTCTAGAACAGGTCGGAAACGATTTCTTGTCATTCGTTGGTTTCTTGGATCTGTTTGTTCATCGAAACTTTCAGTCCATTGTTCTGTTTTTTTTTCTTCAAGTTTGATTGTTTTTTCTTGCAATTTGGATCGAACATGAATTAAATGAACAGTCAAATATACGTAATTTTCACATTTGACTTTGTCACCAATGATATCGAGAAGGGAATTTTTAATGAGATAGTCGCGACATATTTTAGTTAATGGCTCATGTCCTTTGTCACTAAGTGTGCCTTCGACATCTTTTAAATCATTCAGAAATTCATCAATATGGCTTATACTTGACTCCAACTCTTTGACTGCCAAGTTTTTCTTTATCAGTTTTTCTTGAAAGCTGTCTTCGAGTTCTTTGCTTAGTTGATTTGACATTGGCCTTTGAAGGAATGCAGACGTATCTGTGTACAAGTGTTCAAAGCGTCCAGCTAAATCTCTGTATAATTTACCGACATGATTCATGTGACAAAGTTGAAAATCTCGTATATTATATTCAGTCAATATCTCAGCAGTTAAATCTTTTACATTGATTGTTTTAATATAAGTATACAGATGTTTAGACGATTGATCTGTTTGTTCATTTTTCAATATCGAAACAATTTGTCTTAAGATAGTGTAGCCATGATACAACTGATCGATTGGTAGCTCATTTAAATGGCTCCTCCAATCATCTTCGAGTGGAACCGAATAGTTTTCATCCAATTCGATGATGCCATCAGCAGTTGCTGTAATGGCATTAATAACTTTTCTTGGTATAAAACATGCATATTTTTGGGAGATATCCTGATATTTAATGTGACATAAAAGCAAATAAGTTCGTATTATGTACGACTGAACATTGACATAGTCAAAATTCAGTTCGGTATCGGGCACTGGAAAATCTTGGTCTTTCAAAATGAGATTTGCTAATGCATATTTTTCAATCCATGCATAGTCGTCGTCTTTCAAACTCAATACACCTGCGCCTTCACGTACAACTTGTATTATAGAGACTTCCTTTGGTACTATTGTACCAATCAAATATTTAATGATGTTCATATCCTGATCTTCAGAAGAGTTGAGCCCCTGCTCAACCATATCCAAAAATCTGTTGTGATAATCGATGAGAATGCTTGAAAATGGAAAGAAGTAAATGAATCAATGAATTCAAGAATAAGAAAGAAGTTTTTATTTTATTTTAGGATAATCACACATTTTCATCAAACTTCAATGAGAACATTTTAAAATTTTAATTAGTTCTTCCTCCTCCTACTGCTGCTGCTGCTGTATTACTTCGCTATCTAAATATTCAATTATTTAAGAGATAAATATATTTGTCTCAATTTGCATTGCCACATTGAAAAATAAAATATCATGATGATTCTATTGTTTATAATATATCATTCAGTTTACCGGGATCCTTTGAAGTTTTAAATTCTCAAGAACATTTAACCAGCATTTTATTTGAACTCATATAGCTTTTGACAGAAAATCATTTAAAATGCCTAATTTTCTCGGAAATATTTAACTTAAACGCACTCACAATCGAGAATATTAGATATTATTTTCCATCACTATCCGTTTAAAAGAAACAATATTGAAAATTGATCATAAAGTAATTCGAAATTTGATTAAATAAATTTATTTTATTCTCTCCTGAGCTTTGATGACTGTTCAAGTTTGTTATGCCTACTGCGGTCAGCCAGAATCTATCAAATGATTGAATGTTTCATGATACTCTCTCACTCCGACACACTATATATTTATTTTAGGATGATTTTGATAATTTAGACCTTCCCTGATGTTTTAATAACTATTCGTATAAGCACCTGTAAGCAATATTTTGTTCTTATAATTCATTATTTTGAATTTCAAATTTGTTTTATGCAATCGAAATTTATGAGAGTATCAAATTAAGAGAAGAAAAATTCATCTTATATCAGCAATAATAAATGCTAAATTTATCATTTATGTTCTTTTCTTATCCTATACAATCCCAATTCATGGTATTGCAGAATACCTGCTCAGCGATTACCAGAGAAACCCGATCAATATTCATGAGTGTTTAACTGATAAAGAATTACAAATTATGAGACTGAAATATGAATTGCTTAATCGACCGATTCTCTCATTTTTCTGAATGATTGAACAATATAAAGAAAGATTTTTAATTGAATTTTATCTAAAAATATCAGTTGTTGGGAGAAAAATGATTTCAAAGAATCATATATTATCAAATAAAAGTGTAAGTGTGATATCATTGAGACCATAGCAGCCAGACCGTGCATATGCTATGAATCCTTTAAGATCATACTCTCAGCTATTGTTTGCATAGTGTTTTATTGAGTACAAGAACTATTTCTACTCTTAGACGATTAAGAATTATTAAAATATTTGAGTATTTTTCTTTTGAAACGAGCAAAAGCCTCTGACATAGACTTTACAACCCATTCAATTCAAATCAAGATCTCAAGATTTTATTTTCAAGATATGGAACTATTACTCAAGTAGGTCTTGAAATATTAAATTTACCCAGCAGTTGTTTTACAAATTGAGAGCTAGTTTACGATATTGTCTAAAGTAAAATGTTGGGTAAACTGTCATTTAGAATATTTTACAGAAGAATCCGAAAAAAGTAAAATTCTAAAAGTTGTATTTTCTACTAAGATGAAATAAATTCCAATTAATATATGGAACTCAAGCATGTATGAAATATATATTGCGTCTGTTTAGAGAGAATGCGATTTAAAAAATTCATGTAACCGTGGCATAGTTTAGCATTCTACAAAATTTTGTACATAATAGTTTTCAGAGTCAAAACTTGGTTCTGGTATTTTGAATTCTCTACTCTATCAGATTGAATATTTTTAAATACGCAAAGTTGCTGCCGTTTTGCAAACCGAAGAAAAACTATGATATTACTCCCTGTTGAGTTACTTACAAACTAGAAATTACAAAAAGACCCGAAAGATAAATACAAAATATGACTACTCACTGTGCCATGCTCACAGGAGAAAGTAACTAACCTGAGTATACGTATAACGATGTTTCCTTCATCATAATTTTCTCCTGTAACCAAATACGATATAGGCGAGTCTTTGGTGATCTTGTTGAAACGCTGCGTTTCATCACAGGCGCCTGGTTGAATACTACCATTCATGATGTCGTGATAAGCATTGACAGCGTCGATCCCCCTTTCGATTATTTTCTCATGAGCAGCCATCTCGTTGTTATAACTTTTGGAGTTGGACGTCTTTAAATACTGTTTTGCTTTTTTTTGTAATTCTTTGAGGTCGGTATTATCAAAATTTTCTTTTTCAATCATTTGGGCATATGTCTGATGTAGAAGGAGGTAGAACCGACACAAATCATAAATGTACGCAGTTATTTTGAGAAAATCAATAGAATTAATGACTGTTCTTATGATGCTCAAGGGTAATTCTGCATATTTTGGACTGAACCATCGATTTTGAAACTGTGACATTTTAATAACAATTGGTATTCGAGTCACAAAGTTTTGTAGATCGATCTGTAGTTGAGATTGTAAATGAACTTTATTTATGTAGTTTTTGTATTTAGGTAAGTTGTCGCTGGCAAAAGAGTACACTTTTTTCTTGTATTCACTCTCAGCTGCTCGTTTTTCATCGACTGTTTGATACTTCGGTTTAATCCAAGTATTTTCCTGATTAATTGTCAATTGAGTCATTCGTTCGAAGGAAGTCGTCAATAGAATACATGCATCGATTTGGTTTTCATTACAACCAATAGACAACCAGTTTAATGCTGACAAGAGTCGAGCTCGTACGAAATGGCTGACCTTTGTTCGTGGATCATTGCCACACATACGAACATCAATACTAGAGTCATTAATTGCACCCACTGATAAAATGGGTCCGTACAGATTCTGAACAGAGTTTTCGTACAGTAATAAATGCCACGCCTACATGAATAAAAGGGTGTAGTAGTACAAAACAGTTATGTACAAGTTCAACCTACCATCGCTCCAAACGTCGAAAAGTAAGTAATGTAGTATACCTGCAGGTCAGAGCCTGCTATTGATGGATTCTTCAGGCGACCGTTTTGATCTATGACGCATCCACAATCGTAATGAACACCACCAATAGGGCTTTCGTAGATTGATCCAAAACCTATTTTACGTTTATAAATTAATGACCACCATATACTTAGAAAAGAAAAAAGAACAGCTACTATTGAAAGTTTAATACACGTCCGGTCATATTATAGAAATCAAGTATGCATGGATAATGCGCCACACTGGCAGGTTATAAAATTACACATCAGTAGTGGATTTCGTTACTAGAGCATCACTTTTACGTAACATTTTATAAATACTTTCATTGTTTAATATTAAATGTGATTCAAGTTTTTTTTCAAATTACATTTATTTGATACAGACTAAAAGTACTGGCAAAGACCATTAATGATATTTTAAAGTGTGTCACGATTTCGAAGACAAAATTTCGACTAACAACGGATTGAGATTTATGGCAATTGATTATTTTCAAAATTAGGGGGTCCTAATCATCATATTTATGATGGCCTTGTGAAGTTGTCAGTAATAGTCGATCTGATAGATTTTATATATTATTTTATAATATTTCGCTTCTTCTTATACAAGCCGCTAAAATTGCTGAAGTTTTTATGATTAAAAATCATAATTTATCAACATTTCTACGAGAATTAAGCTTTTCCCGTTGTTCTTTTTATTTTTAAAGGTTTCCGTAAGAGTGAGTGTTATTCATTCAACATAGCGATAAGATCACCGATAATACTCGTTACATTCTTCTATTGCACGTATTCATCTACGAAGAATGCGTTAGTTCTCGATATCTTTTATTTAATTTGTGTTGAGTATTGTTCTCAAGGACATAAGAAACTGTAGTACATCCAAAAAACTAAACTACAGAATAGAATCTTCATTTTCAAAAGGATTAACTATGTGTCAAAACACCCCTATTATGGTCGAATAGAATGTCAAGCACATATTCTTACGTATATTATTAATGATCAGTGTATATACTATAACTCACAGCGTTCATAGAAAGGAGAAAAGAAGTAACAGAAACTCTCATATATCTGTTGGATATCCGAACTAAAATATTGATGAAGCAGCATGTAGAGAATATTTTTTTTTTTTATATAAAAGAATCCTGTATATATCTTGTTAAAGAGTTAATGAAATGATCACTAACACTGTATCAACGATTTCCACGAAAACACTTACCGTACGTATTCTGGAGTTCCAAAGCCTTAAATGCAAATGTCCAAAGAAAAGATTTGTTTCCGCCCATGATAATCATGGCCATTAAATTAACAAGTGCATGACGTATGCATAATTCGTCTAGGTCTCTAAAGTCAAGCCGAAACAATTTAATCAAATGATTTTCAGTGTCATCGTCGTTCTGCTTTCGATAACCAATAATATACTGGTCGGGTTGAAGTAAAGCAAGAAATACGACGAGTTCTTCAGGTAATGGTTGCAAAGTTTGTTGAATTATTTCTAGCAAAAAACTAATTGACTGTAGCTCATTGTGGCAATAAAAATCATAGTAAATCTTCAATATGAGCATTGCCTTTATTTCATTTACTGAACATTTCTTAGAATTTGAATTTAAGCACTCCTTAATCCAATGCGATAAGGTATTATATTTTTCTTCTGTTTTCAATTTGACGCAGTCATCGATTTTTTCGCTGAGTTCACTATAATGTTGGTGAAGAGTTGGAAACACACTTGAATCATAAGCATCTGATGATAATGTAAATTGAATACGATGATGCGATTCCAGAAATTGATCTTCTTTTGCAGATTTAACCAACTTGAGCATGTCATGTAAGTCTTTCGCCCACTTACTATTTGCTGTTTGTAATTCATTCGACTGAAGACGATTGAGAAGAAATTCCCATGATTTTTTCGATATGATAGTCGAAAGAAAATGTTGTAAATGACAGTTGAATTTAGTGGAATCTTTGCTGTTCGTAAAATATTTCTCAATGAGTTCTTTCAAATATTCTTCAAATGATTCTTTTTGATCTTCATTGATATCCGAACATAAAAACACGCCAACGAAGTGCACTAGAAAATAAACTTTGAATTTTTCGAATAGATCACGAACGGTCGATGTTGACTGTTCTTTGAGATTTGATACTGATAAAAACCTGAATCCATTGATAAGACTCCATTTAACTGTTTCCGCATTAGCATAGCGTCTTAGATAGAAGAACGATAAATCGAGTAATATTGGATTTCTTTCTGTGTGATTGTTTTCAATATCATATGACTGGTAGGGTAATTCGTACTGTTCAATACTTTCTGCAGGGACGCAATAGAGTACAATTGATAACAGCTGTACTAGACGATCATTGAAATTGTTTTCGCTAATTTCAGGAGTTTTTTCGATAAAAGACAAGTCTGCCAATTCATTAAAAAGTGATTGTTTCGCTGCAAAGGACAATGAACAATGTGTTTGGTTCAGATATTTTAATAATTCATTTCTATCGATTTGAGAAGGTTTTTTCTGTTTTTTAAGCATTGAAACCATGTAGAAATGTATATCAAGCAGTAATGTGGAACTATCTAAATTTTTCTGTGAAGCATATTCATTAACAGTGCTTACGATTCTTGGTAGTTCTTTGAGATAAGTTTGTATCGTTTGGTTGGAAATGACAGCATTGCCATCATGCAGAAAACTCATTAAGTTACTTATAAGTTGCGATGGTTCGGATATACTTTTGTTCAGCAGGATTTCATACGCGAAATTCATGAAATCGATTTTGTTTCGAATATTTGTTGAATTTAAAAGTTCATCCGACGGACAATATTTAGACACGAAAGTATAATGGTAGACCCACTGTTTGGTTAAACTTTCATCATTGCTAGAAGATAGTTTACAAAGATGTTCCCATAATTGGCCAAACATTAATTTACATAATTCTCCACGTACTTTTGACGGAGATAATTCATTTCTGCTAAGTAAATTCCAATACGGTGTTTCACTCTGATTAATGCTATCGAGAATTCGACAAGCTGAGTAAAGTGATAGTAAATCACGCCGACTGTACTCAAGTGACGTATATGCATAAGCAAGAAGCCATGCATATTTATTTTCACAGTCCTCAAATGATGGTAGATCATCGTTGTCTTTATGCATTAGTAAAGTCGAAATAAATTCGACCGCTTTTTGAGATTGAATCATATTATCGCTGAAATTATTCTCCATACTTATACAGAATCGCTGTACTGAATCATTTACGTATCGATAAATAACAGATTCATCCAAATTTATTTCATTATTATTCTCTTCTTCAACATTGCCATTTTGAGTAATGTATTCAGAGATGATAGTAACCAATACACTATCACCCATTATTTGTTTGGTTAGTTGATTATGAAATTCTTTTTGCGTATATTCTGAAGCTTCATCAACATTTTTCTTCGAGGTCGACTTCGCCGTTACATCTAGATTGTTAATAATAAGAGTCATATATATTATATATTTAATTTAGCGACTTTCGCTATTTTAATGGTCATCAAACCGTTTATACGTATATGCTTCTGTCCTCAAACACTCTGTGAGTACTTTTGACGAATAACAGATATGCACAGACACGTTAATAATACAAATCTTTTCTAAAAGCAATTTAGTTTTACACTGCAACTATATTCATGGGATAGGAGCTTTCTTTAGTTCTGGTTTTTATTGTTCTCAGTTGTTTATGTGTATTTCGAAGACCACCAATACAGTTTCCAAGGGTAAATTGAGTTTCAACGTAAGAACTTTGACAAACTACTTTGCTTCTGTAGATTTTCGCACTAAAGCCATACACTAACTTGCTTGTTCAGTATTGCTAGGTGCACTAATAGCGTTTTTTTACTACTAAAACGCTGAAGTTCGATAATTTTTGTCATTCCTCCACAATTTTTCAATTATAAGACATGAATTATTCTCGCTCGGTTCCACTGAATCTCAATTAAAGATGTATTTTTTTAATCGTATTACAATTAAATCTTATGTTTCAACTTATTGGTTAAATCCCATCCTAATGAATTGATGTACTACATCATCTTATTTGACTCATACATATGTGTACTAAGAACCTTCATAATGTAGCACAAATGTATTCACTCTTGCCCAGCTAGTACACGAGTTCAGCCCTATCTGATTGTTTTATAGTGAAGAGATCGTGAGAGAGAGAGAGAGAGAGAGGGACCGAAGTAAGATATCCTCCAATGCGACTGATGAGAATCAAATTGAAATAGCTCAAAAATAAATACAATAGAATCGTATTTTCGAACCTTTGTTTTTTTGAATTTCTATGAGTATTTGTTTGACATTTTCAGCCAATGATTGCAGTCGTTGGTGAAATAATTGATATAGTGGTGTCTGTGGAATACATGAATGTTGTATTATAATTTGAATAATGCCTTGACTTGATACAGGTAAGTTATTTTTATTCTCATCCAGAACCAGGGATTCAAGATCAATTAATTTCAGCATATAGTTAAATCTATTGTCAATCTCTGACGACTTTAATAATGCTTCTAAGCCATAATCATTGACGATAAATTTTAAAATATATGAAACAAACTTTGTAAATGACATTTGTGTTTCAAATTGTATAGAATCAATGAGTCCAGTCCAGTGTGTACCAGACAGAATATTTTTTGATATATTGTATATTTCATTATAAGTTCTGTTTAATGATATCTGTTTCTTCAACATGTACTCATGATACATAATAATAATTAGTTCTTGTAGTTTGCTTGATTTCTGAAGAATTCTCTTTAAACATTGTACACGCCTCACTATACTTGTACGGATTTGGTAAAAATCGTAAACATATCTGCTCGTAGAATTGGTTTTTAGTGGTTGATGAAGAAAGATTTGGATTCTTGAGCAAAAATCCCATAAGCAATCACCGAATAGTGCATCTAAATCACATAACATATCGCTGACTTCTTCTTTCTGTGAACTGTCGTCTGAACATATAAGTTGTAACATCTTCTGTAGATGAAATGCCGATCCTGGAGCACATGTATCGAAAAAGTAAAAATCCCATCCATACGAAAATATCGATGGAAAGCACTTTCTAGTAATGTGTGCATCAAAAGGCTCATGAATAAGAATGATAAAATGCTTTTTCATCAGTGGATTACCGGTTACGTTGTAATCACTGTCTATTTTATCAACAAGTTGTCGTACAAACGGAATGTTTTGACGTTGTTGTTTAAATCGAACATTTATTATAATAATGAGAACACATTTATGTTGATCTTCTTTATAGGCAAGAAGTTTTTCTTCTAATTCAGCGGCATTTTCAATGCTAGCCTACAAAAAAAACAAATATTATTCAACTCTATTAAACGAAGTTTGAAACGCATCTAGAGCTATTTTCATGATAAATAACTTGGCCTGTATCTAATTTTCGTACGATAAATATTTCCTGAACTGCCATAACCAGCTTAGATTACATTATAAATCACAGCAAATGTAATCGTTTTGCACTAATAGGACTGTGTGCATTGTCACATATTATTGCAACTGATGAGTATGTTAAGATATTGACTTAATCATCCTCTTCCATTTGTTCATAACTTGCAAACAGGAGATATTGCCAAATTTGATAGAGAAAGAAATATACAATGACTAGCTTTTTTGTTGAAAAGTATTATAAAAACCTCAAGAATATATATATATATATCATAGTTATTTGATTTGTGAATTGTTATTATAATTATTACTATATATTGTAGTTCTTTACCTGGTACTTCTTAAACATTCAAGATTCTGATAAGGGGGAACAGATGATTCTTTATTGAAGTGAAGGGCTTTCAGTTTTCGTAATCGAAATTAATTGAGACTTCGATACTTTACGTCAGTTGTATATAAATCTGCTAAAAGGAAGGTAACATTTATATTTCCATTACATCTAGTGCAAAATTCTTTAGTCTTTAAAATTAAAATATGACAAATTCTCACATCAAAAGTGGTTTTTCTTTTAAACAGATCGAGCGGCTTAGCAAGTTACTTCTTGAAAAGAGATGCAGAAAAATAATGTCAGAGGAAAGCACAAGTACGTTTTCTTGTTGCATAGTTTCGTCCTCTGTTTTGATTCAAGTTAAAGTGAAGCTGAAGAAATGTTCATTGCTCACAGTAGAAAGCATTAATTCATGTGGAATAAGAGAAAGAATAGAAAACGAGAAAAACGTGTAATACATTTATATACGTACGATCCACACATTTAATTACGTCATCATCGGGTTATTAGAAATAAATTTAGTTATTATCGAAAAATATACATTTCTGAACTCTCTATCTCAGTGTCATAAGTCTATGATCCTCAAGAAATTAATGTTGATAATTGTGCAAAGCTATTTCTTAAAAAGGTATAACAGATGAATGGATCTGATATGTTTTCAGAAACTGAATTCATTGACAGATCTGAAAGACATCTATGTATTCTACTTAACATCAATAACTGTTTAGTAATAATGGTAAAGGTGGCTTGCAGAGAAGATGTTGGATTCGATGAAATCCCTATGGAACCATCTCATAGGATCCCTACACTAAAGCTCCATTAGCTGATTCGTTTCCTGAAATGATTAATATTGGAAAGTAGCTAAGTTGCAGTACGAGACTATTATCATGCAATACAATTAGAAAATGAGATTTGTTCTAGTGAATGAACCTTCATTATCCGAAAATGTTATCATAATCAAGTTATGTTAAATTATCACAAGTACTTACCAAATTTAAAATATCAGTCATTGCATTAATTGTTTCATAATCGACGTTGTTTCTATTTCCTAGCAATCTATATTTTGATAATTTATTAAGACTCAATATGTATGGTGATGTTCGTGTATATATCATTATCTTTGTTGTTATAAGTACATTCACATTCAATACTCCTTCATCCGTCGTTCTATTCATATTTTGGTCGTCATCTGCTGGAGTTTGTGATCTTGTAATAAGTTGCCGAATAAAATTTTCCAAGCTGAAATGTTCCTGTTGATAAAAGTAGTTTTCACATAGTGATCGCGCAGTTTCATCTTCAAATGTCGGTAATTTGAATATCATAGACTCAGGTGAAACGATCTGTATCAGTTTTGAGAGTATTGAACGTAGTAAACGTTGATTTATATTGCTTGTATTTTCAATGAATGATTTTGTTCTAATGGTCAACTGTGTATACTGACGATCTATGTTAGATATTCTGCATATTCCATTATCTTCACATTCTAACAGTGATAGTAAACATGAATACAACGTATCGTTATTTAACCCAAAAAAATTCTTTGCACCGAAGCAATCGATGAATGAGTTCAACTTCGCTTCAACATTTGTCAAGCAGGTTTGATCATCTTTCGATAGCTTTTTAAATTGTAGTCGATAGAAATTTTCAATGCTTAACGAATACTTTTGAAAACGACTTAAAAATGGCGCAGGTACTTCTTTCATTTCATTTCGATTAATATGTACGACACATTGAAAATCTTCATGAACAACAACATCAAGCGTTTTAGGACCGATGGCTACTTTTGAAAAAATTTTTCTAGTATCTCCCGTTGCCATGATTGAGAAATTTTGATTGAATACATCGTAAAGTGCCCCATGTATGCGTCTAGTGTTAATCATTAAAATTGTCCTACCAGTCTCCATACATAATTTTATGGTTGATAGAATTTCAACATTTTTCAATTCATTATTAACATCATTAGGAAAATCCGACAGACGAAAAACTGTTGTTCGATTTGGATCAAGAACTTTTGTTTGAAATAAAAAGCGAACAACACTTTCGGCATCGGATTCATCAATAACTAACTTATAGCGACCGTAAGAACGACGACCTACTGAAGTCAGCTGCATTGAATCGCTCATAATTGTTGTTACGTCACGATATAAATTTGATCCTCGATTGTCAGTCGGTTGTTCAAATATAGGACCTTTATTTTCTATTGCATGAAAGAAAATCTTAGTCAGTTTTTTAAACTCATCGGACGTTATTCCATTAAAGTTATCTTCAAGAGCGGTTACTAGATTCATCGGCGTAATATAAATTTTATTTAAATCGGAATCTGTTGAAGTAAATGAGGGTTTAAAAGCTAGTTCTCGCAGCATATAGATAAAGTCTCGATCATGAAATATTTGTTGAAAATCATTATAATTGAGCAAATCTCGGTAACCGTCACAAAGGCCGGCTATTATGTTTTTAAGATCATCAGGCGTTTGATCTTTTCTAAGACCAAGACAACCATAAGCTAAAATTTCCTGATCCTCTTTTGATGGTAATGAACGATAAATGCATGTCATTCGATTTGCATTTGCAGCATCAAATGGACTGTTGGCAATGGCTACGAAGGCAACTTTACATTCATCTAAATATTGATGTAATACTTTTAATACCATTCTCTTTTCACTTGGCAATGATGCCTCATCCAAAAATACAACCTAAATTAATAATTCAGTGCCGAAAGAGCATCCTATATTCTGTATTTTGGTCTTAGAAACAACGAAAAACTTACACATCGTGTTGCCGTTCGACTCTCCTGGTAGTATTGTTCACGTTTTATCGCTCTCTCGAATGCATAGGATATATCTGTTGAAGTTGTGTGCTTGGATCCGAGACAAAAAAATGGATCTATTGCTGGTAAACTTTTACAAAAATCGCTTTTTGATAATTGTGGACCTTGAAGGTTTTGAAGGACAATTTGAAATGATAAGGTTTTCGATTGACCTGCGAACAAACATACAAATTAAAATGCTTTAATGTCCAACAAAGCAAAATGGAATCTGCACGTACCAGGTGCACCAATTATGCAGACTGGTGTTCGTGTAGCAATACTAACAGCAATTGCAAAAACATGTTCACGAATCTATGGTAAAGAAAGAAGGAAAGCATATCAGCAAATGAAGGACCTCAGTTAGATACATACTGCTTGATTAATGGCCACACCTTTTGGTATCACAAAATTTTTATCGTTGACAAACTTTTGTAATTCAGTCTCAATGATATTGGGAAAGTTTGGTATAGTCCCTTCATGAAGCTTCTTAGCCAGGTCTTCACGTGAAGGTCTATTTTTGACTTTTGATTCTTTATTGTCATTTCGTTTTGGTAAACGAAAATAATAGATTAATGCAATGGATAAGGCAATACATCTCAATGCATACACTGTCCGATCAATATTCTTAGTATTGTCCCAATCTGATGACCAGAAATATTCAATAAAATTAAAACATCGTTGAATCTCGCGTTGTGACACTGTGTTGGGAGCTTTAAAAATAAAACAAACATATTGCATAGTTATTTATTGAAAATGTATCAAAATTACCCAGCTTGGTTTCACAGAATTCTTGTGCGTCAAGTATGGCTTTTGTCAATATTTTTTGTTCAGCCTTTGTTAATGATATTACTTGTTCATCTTTCTCTATTGATATTTCAAACTGAGCAATTTTTTGCTGAATATAATCCCTCATTATTGATGATTCTAAGACACCATATGGCACTACTAAATTCTGTAATGATTGTGGCAATTTATGAACCATATAGTCAACACGATAAAATTCATTATCAGTAGATTTAGCCTCCTTTGATGGATCGCTTGGTGGATTTATGGCAGCTGTAAAAAAGATATTTTCTGGTAAATTGACACAATGCAATGTCTTGTCAATAAACATTTCTTTAACTAATCCCAAACATGAAGAAGTATTTACTTCATCAAAAAACACTACTAATTCAATTTTGGGCACCTGAATGGCTAAGTTACAAATAGGTTCCATGAATTGTTCAATTTCTTTCTCTGTTATACCTGGATGTAAAAGAAGACGATAGAATAATGGCTTGGTTCGTGTGTAGGATAAATATTCATCCAAAATCTGAAGAGTATCTTCTACATTTGGCAAGTTTGACGCTTCGAGTAAATATTTTAATCTTGAACTGCATTCGATTAATGGCAAAGTAGCCATTTGTATTTTAACATATTCTACTACGTCAGGAAGATCTGTCTTATTCCATATGGTCAGTATTGTCTTCAAAATACATTTTAAGTTGTTACAATTAAATATATAGTTTCTTAATGAATCCATTAGTACTTTCACTGGTGGTCTTTCCAATAATTTGTTGAATAGTTCTAATTTTGCCATTGATGTCATATTTGATTCATTGTCAGTTGGTATTTCTTCAAGTAAATTTCTGTTCTCACCATCAACGGGCAACATTACATTTTCTCGTTCTTCAGGATTTGTCAAATTCTCTTTTATTTTCTGTATAAGTTGGATCCATAGAGTCAAGTTATCTTTATGATTTGGTTTGATAAGCCAGTTAAGAAGCCAAACATTTGTACGCTCGAGAATTCTTGTTACAAAATTATTGTTAATATCACCGCGAATCATATTTGCGTTCAGTAAATCTGCATAAAATTTCAAAAGAAAAGTTTTACCTACGCCTGTTTCACCTTCAATTACTAACGGAAGCCGTGTCAGTTTTCTTTCATGTATGTGAAAGAGTTTGTATGTAAAATTCTCCGTCAGAATGAATTTGGATTCGCTCAGTATTTTAATAAAATAATCATACTGAATGTCGATTAACCATGACAAACATTTGGCGAAATAATTCTTGCCAACAAATTCTTCTCCTCCTTTCGGATCTTTATTTTTCCATAATTCTACTTTCAGTGTGTCCGGTACTTTACTCCAATCATTGTGTAATAGTTGCAATGCAAAATACGGATCATACACAAAATATAGACGTGGATAGTCACTGGTTTTAAAAGAAATATCGACAAGACATTTGACTTCCTTAATCATTTGTTCCATAACTATGCTACCAAGATTTTTAATAGTCATGTTAGTCTTGTAGAAAAATCCTTCAAAAAAACGAAGGCGACGATATAAAAACTTTGTGAATGAAAGTTGATAGAGCTTATTGTTACATGTATTTTTATCAGAACATTCTTTTAAACATCTATTTAAGTATTCTCGACACACGTTTGGGTCATCAATGTGCTCGAATTCCACTGGTTGAATGTTGTCTCGTCGATCTTCCTTACAAAGTCGATTGATCTCGTTATTATAATAAGCTTTAAGAAATCGAGCTACTAATTTTTCCTCGTCTCCGATAAATAACTCATACTTGTTATTAATTTCGATCGACGATTGTGATATAATAGAAAGTATTGGTAATATTTTATTGCCATTTTCTTGAGTTGACTCATTGTCTATGCTTAAATATGGTATCTCAATAATAAATTTCCATGAGGTTTTAGTTGGCAACGAAAACGTAAGTCCGTTAGATGAATCGGTGAGTGAGCCACAAAAGAAAAGCGAAAAAAGAATATGATTTAATTCTTCAAATGGGGCATGACATGAAACATTCAAAATAACATTAGCTTCGTTCGACAGCTTTTTCGTTTCATATGATAGAAATGAACTGATCACGAATGATAAATCTATTTCATCGTTGACGGTTATATATAATGCATCCCCTGTTTTATATTTGTTTTTGATAAAGTGTGTTTTTCCTGTAAGAAAATCATTTATTGTAGAAAAAAATACTGTGAGTAGGGGTGGCACCTTACTTTTACTTTATAAAATAAAGATAAATGAATCCTTTACTTTTAAAAAGTAAAGGTAAATGGATCCTTTATTTTTAAAAAATAAAGATAAATGATCATTTATTTTTAAAAAATAAACGTAAATGAATCATTTATTTTTGAGCAATAAAAGGAAAATAAAGGAATAAATGATACTTTTTATGACGACACTAATGTAATTGGAAGAGTACTAGAATCATGAAATAAATCTGCAGAGAATTTATTACGATTTAAAAATGTAAATTTGATTTAAAATACATTTCCTAATCTAAAATCCAGAAACGACAGAAGTGAAAGCTTTATTTCTGACATTTCAAAATACTATGAGATAGTGGAAAGCTTCTTGTAACATTTAAATGTGATATAAAGGTTTCTATGTATCCTGAAATCTTTGTCAAGCTTTATTTTCAAATCATAGAATGTCTTCATCAAATCGATTATCTCTCAATCTTCATATTACAACATAGACCTTCTTTATAATTTTGAATCTTACTTTTAATTATCCATAACCTTGCCCAATATACTTTTAATTTTTCCATCTTTCTCAAAAAAGTCGGTCAACAGAATTTGTAGAGCGATTATTTGCAAATAAGTGTTAAATAGATAATTCTATTTTTACGAGGATCTATTCGCTTTTTCCAGTTACAGAGAAATATCCTGATGATACACATACAGACATAAGAAAGGCGCAAAATAAGGAAATGAAAAGAAAAACCAGCAAATAACACACACATGGGTTGTAATGAACATATTTTCTGTATGATTTAACTTCATGAATACCGCTGTCTTCAGACTGAAGACAAACAAAACTGGCAAAATCCACCGAATTTTACACGTGAAAATGATTGATTGAAACTTTCACAAAAGATCGGACTAACTTTTCTGCCTAGAAACGCACAAAAATAGTTCGATGATTCTGCAGCATTCTCTGAATATTCCTTGACCTAATGCCAAATCATTGTAAAATTAGCGCCAGCGAAGTTACATTTTCCTTAATACCTCGAGGAAGCTGCAGAAGCATCGCACCAGTTTTGCATGTTCCGAAGCAGAAAAGTCAGCATGATTTTCTCTGAAAGTTCCAACCAATCATTTTCATTTGTTAAATTCAGTCGATTTGGTCACTTCTGTTTGTCTTCAGTCGGAAGGCAGTGGTATTCATGAGATTAATTCCAAGTGTATCTACATATAAATAAGCTTCTGTTTCAGACCCTATTTACCATTGGCATATTTATTCTCTATAGTTCTCGCAATTCAAATATAATATGATAATTTGGATAGAAGGTGAACCAGTTTAATATTTAATTAAAAAGTAATTTCTGTTTCCAAAAACTTTTATAAAAACTTGATATTCAAATAGAGCTTTCTCAGATCATTTAGAAAAAAGCTGAATCGAAATTTATGAATCAAATAAAAGCCGAGACATATCGTGGAAACCGAAACATTTCTATAGAGGAACTATCAACAGAGCAAATTGTTTATTTTACAGTATGTATAGGACAAAATGCATTTGTCAATAGTTAATATTCGTATTTAGTTGAAGACTTTTTTTTATGAAATAAAGTATTAGATCATTCGGAGAAGTCAGCAAGAGATAAGTTTTGAAGTGTCGATTCTGTTAGTATGATCTGAATGATTGTGACCTAAATTAAGAGAAAAAAATTCTTCAGCCAAATACAGGTATTAGAAGTTGATCTACGTGTTATTTCCTACTTACTGGGAAAACAGGCAAGTTGATCATATAAAACTGATCTATGAAAACGATTCGATTGTTTAATCTTTATTTGCGTCGTCTTGTATTCTTATTTAGGACTGCAGTTTTATTAAAGCATTTTCGAAAAAAAACGTAAATACAGTGGACCATGATAAGACTATCTCATGTTGTATTGAACTCAGTATGCTAAACTTTTATGTATATCCTCTTTGAACAATGAATGCACTATTAAGAAAAAATTTCATGGATTCTATTGATCTTCTTTTCTTACGAAGAAACAATTTTCATTTTTTCAACACATAAGGTATCTGAGTGTAGATTGTGACAAAGAAGATCACTGTTTTGTGGTGCACGTAGTTGGCAACAGGGAAATCTGATTCAGAACGATTCACATTGCTGGAATAACGATATAATGCATTATAAAAAGGGGAATTCCTACCAGCATTCTGTCTACACTATTTTTCAAAAAAAAATATTTGAATATAAGTATCATTCTTCCTAAACATATCTAACCTATCTAAACAAAATATTTATTTTGATTTTTTTATAATCTTCAAGGCAAAGAAAAAGTAAACAAATTATCTGCAACACAATACACTCGTAATTAATACGGATGACTCATTCTCTATTGAGCAAATTCTGGAAGCAATTTTAGTGCGTTATAAAATTCATATTAAAAAAATGTTCATTACTTGGGAAAAAACAAATCTCAGTTTTTTTTCATTATAGTGTCCATATGAAAAAAGTGAGCAAGTGCGTTGGAAGCACTAACTATTTTTCATTTTCTTTTCAAAGTGCCTTTGATGAATATTAAACACAGTAGTTGAAGTAGGGACACTCAATGTGTCTGTGTGTGATGCAGAGAGCGAGAGAAAAAAATAAACGACTATATTGATCTCATCAATATTCTCATGGTGCAAATTTTCATAGAAAGAGCAGAAATGCCGGCTTATAGGCAATCCAACGTAGTTCTGAAAGCAACTGATGATAAAATTAAAAAATAGATCACGATTCAAAGAAATCTTTTTTTTCCCTTCATATAAACCAACATACTAAATACTATGATAACCGTTTGAGCTTGTTTGCTTCAGTTTCATTGCATATTTTGCTCATCAAACTGTATAGAAAACATTTAAACAGATAACCTAATTTTTTTTCTAATGCATGAGTTAGTTTCCTTTGATTGCTTTCAGTTTGAATCGGAAATTTTTTTCATATCTTAAGAACAAATTTTCGGTAAATGACATGAAAAAACAACGAAATAGAAATCCAATAGATATGTAGTAAAAAAGTATGTAGGATTTGATGGAGTATATATAAATGTACATTTGAATCGAAGAGTAGGAAACGAGTACAATGGTACCCGGCGACACTGTACCTGTGATGTTAGATGTGAATCAGACCGAATAACATCTCCAACTGTCAGAATTAACCGACAATATTAATCTGGCTCCCGTCTATGATTAATATTACCACAGTGTGCAGTGTTCTTGATAATTCTTCGTAAAGAATCATCTACAACATCATCTAGTCCAATAAATAACATGGACAAACATGATGCCGAAACTAGGAATCGAACCTAGGCCCTTGTCTATCGCGGACAATGCTCTACCAACTGAGCAATTTCGACCCATTATCTTATACCTATATAAGATAAGTGGTGCATGTACTTTCGTACAAAGAACCTGTGATCGTTATCGAACATTATTCAGTCATCATCACGAAAATTCGTCATCTCTTTCCTTTAACAAGGCAGTTTGATAAACGAATTGGATGATTAGTTGGACATGGTGTGGGTGTGACATATGTGTCTACACCCTAACTACCTTTACGTCCAGTTAAACCTAACCACCAACGAAATACGAAAATGTATATGTGATGTTAGATGTGAATCAGACCGAATAACATCTCCAACTGTCAGAATTAACCGACAATATTAATCTGGCTCCCGCCTATGATTAATATTACCACAGTGTGCAGTGTTCTTGATAATTCTTCGTAAAGAATCATCTACACCATCATCTAGTCCAATAAATAACATGGACAAACATGATGCCGAAACTAGGAATCGACTTTATTAGAATTAAAAGTAGTTGGTTATTCTTATTCAGATATAACCTCTTTCTAATGAGTTCACTACTCTCGAGATGAAATACAAATAAAAATAAATATAAAAAAGTTTTTTGTGTTTTTGTAAATGTTTATTTATTGACTAGTTTCTGCGGGATCTTAACCCCACTTCTTCAGAATAGACAAAATATACACAAAAAACTTATTTACAACGAATGATCTTCAGGGTCTAAAGGACCTCCTAAAAATACCGACAATACTAGATGGCCGAATGGGCCTCTCGAATGACAATGACAAATTAAGGATACCATATGGCCGAATGGGCCGCTACAGGCGAAAAAGAAAATTGTCTTGAACTGGACTGGAATGACCATTTGTAATGAACATTGTTTGATGATCATTGTCTTAAACTATGATTAAATTATTGTTGGTTGCCGCCGTCGTTGATATGGCATGAACCGTAACGTTATGTCGCACCAATGTCCAATTGTAGATAAAAGAACTCCTGTCCCATAGCATACGAAGTGTTCTTTTAACAAATAAATAAGCGATTTTGTAAAAGAACTCCTATAAGAAGTGTTCGTCTAAATAAGCGATTTTGTAAAAGAACTCCTATAAGAAGTGTTCATTTAACAAATAAATAAGCGATTTTGTAAAAGAACTCCTTTAAGAAGTGTTCGTTTAACAAATAAATAAGCGATTTAGTAAAAGAACTCCTATAAGAAGTGTTCGTTTAACAAATAGCTGAGGTAAAAGATTTACAAAAGGACTCCTATCCGAAGGAATAAGAAGTGTCCCTTTCTTTTAAAAAGAACTCGTATCTGAAAGAATAAGAAGGGGTGTGGGTGTGGGTGTGGGTGTGTGGGTGGGTATGGGTGTGGGTGTGGGTGTGGGTGTGGGTG